AATTTAATTGTACCAATTTGCGGTCCTACCAAAAATCTGAGACACATGACTTCCCCACACCTATACAAATACTAGTAACAATCTTTTTAATCCATTATGGAGGATCTACTTAGTATCCTCTTTTACCAAGTGATCTAAAAGGAAAGAGGCATCATAATACCTGTGTGTAAGCCCTAGCTTTGCCACTCAGTGGCTAGGTGACCTTGGGCAAATTGCCTGCCCTGCTGAGAGCTTCAGTTTCCTCTTTTGTAAAATGGGAATTAAACTCATTTTATATGATTGTTTTGAAGATTAAATGAGATTAAAATTTTAATTATAAATATTAGCAATTACTACCACCACAATAACAATGCAAAGAAAATTACCATATGACTAGAATTTTCTGTAAAAGTCTTTCTTAATAATTATAAAATAATTATGTTGGTATTACCAAAGTCAGATTCTATTAGGTGAGTCAACTATTTACTGGGATTACCGAAGTCACTAGAAGAGTCCATATTCCATAAGGTCAACGTATTGCTTACAAAATCATTGCTCTGGTTCTCTACAAATACTCTTCTAATAGTAGTTCAGAAAATACTTTCTAAATTACTTAGTTCCTTAGATGAAATGGAATTATCCAAACATATGATCAACTACACACCAGGATTTTAATTTCAAGTTTATGAGAGGGTCTTGTTTCTAAGCACATACAGTAATGCAATTCAAGTAATTCCATGGAGATTTCTTAGGGCCAACAAATGAAATTCTAAAATTTTACTATAACATAATACATTAGAGACATTTAGCCTTCATTCTTTCCCAAAACTAACATCAACCTCATTCTCATTGATTCATTAAATGTCTCAATACCTACCATGCATACAAGTCCTATGCTAGGTACTAGGGGCATATAATCTGCACTCAAGAGATAAAGACTCATATTAAAAATAAATGGGCAAAACATTATCTAAATTTACCTGTGCTTCTGGTATGACAAATAGTCAGCCAATGGTGCATGACCCATGGAGCTCATCTTTCTTTGGAGGGATACTAAGGGACCTCTCACACTTTTCATCCCTCAGCCATGTAAAACATAAAGCCAAGAATGAGATGTCATTGTCCTATGGCTTACTCTCAAAAGCTTTCAATGGCTCAACTCACCTAAGTTTTCCTCTTTTATTTTCTTCCTCCACATCATGACTTTTGTAATTTTTATGACAATTTCTTAATGAGTAAAATGATCTGGAAAAATTTTTTTTCAGTTTTTATTTCAGTGAAACAAGAGGCAACACTGCTGTATAAAGTATTGCATATGGAGAACATTTACACAAATATACAAAACTTCAAAAAACTAAACTGTAGTTTATTTCCATAGCCTTGAAAAGGTCGAGAGTACATAAAAATATCCAAAGTCATAGTTTATTCTTTAGGAATGTAAACTCTAGGAATACAATTAGAAACACGTATACTTACTAGGAAAAAGTTAGTATCACTACATGATTAGAAGTAAAGATAAGAAGTATCCAATAAACTTTACTTAAGAGAAAGCAACAGTATGTGAAATAAGATCTTGAGTTTACTGGTAGAAACTTCATATCAAGCCACAGGTAGGAACTCTACTATACAAAAACAAAAACATCTTCCAAAAATATTCACTGCTAGTCTCTTTAGATATGCACAAGTTACAAAGTACAAAAGACAACATATTTATGTTTTCTATTGAAGAGTTTAACAATATTAAACATAAATGTGAATAATTCAAATTCTTGAGTGTAATTTTACTAAGCAACAAATCTAAAAGTACAAATTCATGCTAATTAAAGGACTAGAGTTTCTATTTTTCATCCAAAGATTGGGAAGACATTATACAATCATTGCTATCTATAATGTTTAGTTTAAGTACCCATCAAATTATTCCTTTTGTTTAAATGGCTTTTTAAAAATATTTTTCAGTTACATTTTTTAACTACATATTTCCTTGATGTGCTTCCTTTTAATAAAGTATAGATTTATTGTGCCTATAGACTCAAATGTTAAACAGCCTATTTTAAATATTGGTTTAAAAGTATGCCTCAGAGTACATTTTTTCTATAATTTAAATTTAAAGGTTTAACACTTCAATTTTATTCTTTCAAAAAAGGCAAAATCCCTTAAAACTGGGATCATTTTTAATCTATTTTGGTTTAAAAAACATATTTCTCTTTAATTCAACATTTTGTTTTTAAATGAGTAAGGTCTGCTAAGCAGTTGCATGAAAATTGAAAAGGGCAATAAAATATTGCTTTTTCAAAATGAACTCTGTCATTTAAAGACTGAGAATTTCTACTCTGCAAGTCTCCAGGGCTGCCTTAAACACTTCGTTGGTGGTGCACAAGGGATCCCAGGGTGCTCATTTGCCCTGGGCCCTCTGGGAAAAGTCTACTTTCTCTCTCTCCTCGCTTGTACTCCAAAAGGCAAACGCTGGGACCCAGCTTCACTAGAATACCCCAGGTATTTCGGTATTTGAACAGTGGGAAGTTAGGTAATTTCAAGAATCTTTAGAGGTTTAAAATGTGGAATGGACCTACAAGTTCTGCTCAGATCCTCTGAGTGATGGGGTGCAAGGCCTAGGTTTTGTGGAGAATCCTTCTCATGATAAAAAGGTATTATTCTGGATATAGAGGAAGTATGTGACCAAATGGTCATATCAGCGTCTTCATGAGAAAATGACCTACAAAAGCCACTCCAACTTCCAAATTTGGAAAGGTTAGTGGGAAGAGAATAGTTGGGATAATTACGATTATTACCATATTTAGCATTATCCAATATTTATAATAGCTATACAAAGTTTCAAATGTGTAAATAGTATCAAATGTCCTATAAAAGAATTCTACTTTTAATATTTCTCCACACTCCAGAAAATTATCTGGTGGAAATTAATTGGAGCAGAAATTCATAACCACACCATTGAATAAGCCTTCAGTTTTTTAAAGAATGTACACATGCAAATTTGTTGTTCATTCTATAAAAATGTAATACCCCTTTCATACTTAAATTGTAAACACCTACAGCTCTGATTCCATTTATGGTTAACAAGAAAAATATAAAATGTTACATTTTTATTGTAAAAATAAATGAGAATTATTAAAATTTATAATTAGAGGACTTAAGAAGTCAAGTGTCATTGACGCTATTAAAATTAATTCACCATTAAGAACAATGAAGATTATGATGATCTAGTATCTAACACATCTGATCTAGGGTTGTGAGATCACTGAGGATTCTAAATATTAGATAAGTGATTTGTTTGCACTGTGATACTGTCTTCTCAAACTTTAATGTACAGAAAAATCACTTGAGGATTTTGTTAAAATGCAGATTTTGACTCAGTAGATCTGGGGTGACTTTGAAATTCTGCATTTTTAACATGATGCCAGGTGATGGCAATGCTATTTACCAGTCCTCAGACCCCATGATTGGCAACGACCTAGAATAATACCAAACTCAGTTTCCATTATAGCCGTTGAAAATTAAAATCTGATCTCTCACTTGTGTCAGCTAATGTTCCCTTAAACTTATTCTACAATGTTTCCTAAGCACCTTAACTTGCTTTAAATGCCAACCTTTATAAATTAGTTCTGAAGACTATTACTACTGTTAGTAGCTAGGGAAAATTCTTTGTTAAAGAATTACAAACAGGCAATAGGAAATTCACAGTGGTATTTTACAAACATTTTAAATTGTATACAGGATTCTTATTAAATTAATACTATGTCAACTTTCACTGTCTAGATGCCTTACTTTTTTTTGTTATTATAATTTATGCCAATACATCTTATTATGTTACTAGAACTATGAAAACAAGATTTACTTATGTTAAAAATCATATCTATTCAGGGTTAATGAATGAAAATAAATTCATGCCTTTTGAATAATTAGATTGAAAAACGGTAGCCAAACTAGTTATAGTCAGAACTGCATGCATACTGTAAATGTGTTGGCGCTCTTTAAGACACACACGTTTTTCACATACTTGAGCTCTGCATAAGCAAGTACATGAAAAAACTAGCATTTTCTCTGTGTGACCACAGCTAGGGACCATGAATAAGGAAACCACTGTGTATTAACAGTAAAAGAGACCAAGTGGACCCCTCCTTAAGCCTTCTTTCCTGGTCACCTTACTCTCGTCCTCAGCCATACTTCCTCTCTCTAGCTCTAAATTATTACTTAAGTATTCCTGATTTACAGGGAACCTCAACCATAGCTGAACTAGCAAATACCAAACATTTATGTCCATCTAGAGGTCATACAGTTCTCTATAGTTACATACAAGTTTGTTTAGCTTCCGCCGTATTGCCTTTTTTATTTTTATTTTTTGGTTGGGGGTAACTACATTGATTATTCTTTCTATCATAACAAGGCCTGTTCACAAAATAAGAAACACATTTAATTTTTTTCATTTTAAATTTAAGAACACAACATAAACAATCCTAAATTAGTTATTATGTAAATGTCCTTTGTCCATATTTCACTCAATTTTTTCATGATACTCTATAGATGAAAAATTTACCTAATTTCCTTCATTTGAAGACAAACAATATGATTGACACTGGCATCTTGAGCGCTGTTGCAAGATTTACGGTTTCCGGGAATCTTCAATGACGTGTACTTGGAATTAAAGAAACCCAAACTAGCTAGGATTTCCAAGCCAAGCAGCAGGGTAAGTCAGCTTTATGGTCCATTACATCTTAGAAATTAAAAGAAATTTTCACCTGCTACATTCAGATCCAACACCTCAAAACAACACATTCTCCAGCAACTTGATTTTTGATATAAAAATGTTCCAAAGACAGGAACAGAAATCCTGCCCATCCCTGGAATCACATAATAGTCTAGGTACTGAGTTACCAGGCATTTTCCAGTGTTTTATATAAACTGTTCTACTAATCTTAAAGATGATCTGGTGACAAATGTGGATCAGGCATTTTTCATACACATCATTTTTGTTTTTTCACACGCCTGTTTTTCAAACTGGCTTGCCGAATGGCCAGCTGTAGAATTCCTGGAGTTGTACCTCTCTCCCTCATCCTCTAAAAACAGTTCCCATACATGGAGATTTCCTTTTTACTCTGAAGGCCAAACATACAGCTACCAAAATAGGAGTCATTGGGGGAAGATAAAACCACCTCACATGAGAGGTAACCAATCTGACTAGACAATCTGCTCAAATGTGTTGTCACACTAACCATCTTAGGTCAACAGAAACAAAGAAAATGAAGACTCAAATCAAGGAGAAAAAAACACAACCAAGTAATAACAAAACCATATTTCAGCTTACTGCAACCTAAACCTTATTCCCTTCATAAAGTCAAGATAGCCTTCAGAATTTAAGACATCTGGGCTCCTGTCAGGAACAGGGATGAAAGACCCTGGGCACTTTCATAAAGAAGCAAAGTCATACTTCCAGATTCACTGGCTGTGTGAGAAAACGCTGGTAAGTTAATCTGTGGACAGAGTAATGCTAATACTAGGAGGTCTCTGCTGACCTGATTGATGCTTCACTGGAAGTTCAGTCCTTTCGGAAACGTAAATAAGCTTTTCTTCTTGGAGACTACAAGCGGAAAACCTATTGGCATCTGTTCCAGTCCCACAGCCAACAGCTGATGCTGGGTTATGTGGGACTGTGACACCACTGACTTGTTCAAAGGATTTACTAAATACAGTTGCAGCCGTCTTAGCCAAACCATGGCTACTAGGCTTGGGCAGAGACTGGCTGGTCGTTAGCGTAAGTCTCTTCAAGGAGAGAAGCTCAAGATTTTCACTTTGGGCTCTCTGAGTTTGTTTTCGAGCAAAGTGATCTCTGCAAGACTCCCCTGTAGTTTCTTTTTCTTTTCCTCCAGTTTTGCTTCCTCCTGATCGTCTCTGAGTCTTTCCTACACTTGTCTTGTTACTAGAATTGTGACTACTATTTGATAAACCTGACTGGCTGGTACTAGATGCAGCCCTGGAATAAAATCCCTCGTCAACTTCAGATATGTCCATCAGTTCTTCTTGACCTGTTAATTCTGCATTTCCTAAACAAAGAAATAACAAAGATTAATTAACGTTAAGTACTTTCAGTAATTCTTTTTTCATGATTAATAACAAATCGATTACATTTTAAATAAATTAAACTGTAGCATAATTAGGTAAAGCAACAGATTATAGACCAAAATCTAAGGATAAATCAACACACTTATTAAATGTCAAAAAAGTTCATTGTATTAAATAACAGTCATTTAGAGTGTATTAAACAAAAAGCATGCCATAAACCCCACCCCACCATGTTTTTAGAAAGAATTCTCTTACTATTCATGCAAAAGATCAGAAACAATTAGGAAAAACACCACACAGTAAAACCAGGGGCAAACTCTCCCCCAGCAACAAAGCAGTAGAAAATCAAAGCTCTTACCAATGAACTTTTTAAAAAAATGGTATTAAAATATTTTAAAGATTTTTTAAAGGTTGTATTCTATATTCTAAATTATTTTACAAAGATGAAAAAAATACACCACAAGTATCACAAGCTCGAATTTGTTAAAATTCTATAGACGTTATCTTTCATATAAAACATGACAAATACATGAAGATGAAAAAATAATTTTTGATCTCAAAACATTAGCAGAAATTTTGGAAGCAATTTTCTGCCTCAATTTTCGTAATTTATTCAGAGACAATATAGGTTTGACCATTCCAAAGAGCATTAAGAGTCATCGAGAAATTATGGTGCATAATTCATGCATTTTGATTATTAGATGACATGCAAAATTTCTGTGACTGTGCAACTGTTGCTTAAAACATGCAGCAGTGGCCCTTTGCCATGAGATACCTTGGAGTGCAGCTATAAAGTGCTGTGCTAAAACTGCACTCTGCCAGGTGAGTTTATTCCATCCTCCATCATTTTTCTTACAGATTTTTGCCTCCTGATCTCTGGCAAGCCTTTGCTTTCAGTTCTAGGATCTGTGGCTGTTTCCTGCACACCCTGTAAATGCTGAGCATCAATCTCTCCTAGTGTTCTGCCTTTTTCCCCATTCCCGGTTCTCTCTCCGGCCACATTTGTGACACTAATCTCAGGAATGACAAGGATGCCCAATTCAGTAGTATCATTATTGTTGTCAGGTTGCTCTAGAATTGAAGACGATAAGACAAAAGGATGGCTGAAAACAAAACAAAATAAATATGCAAAACAACAAAAACAAAAGATCTGAAACAAAAACTGGATGACTGAATGATATGGATTAAGTCTAATATTTGCACTGTAGAAATGTTCTTCAGTTAGAATACTGACAGCACTGGACACAACAGGGTCATATTCTTTAGTTTTAAATGACAGTGAAAAAACTCACAGAGCATCAACTCATGTTCTGCATTTTTTCACACACATAATTGACATGGACTATGAAACAAATTTTTTTATAAGTCAAAATAGGATTTCTATTGTTTTTAAGATATTGTGACCACTTGAACTCATGCAAAGCCTCAGGCACATGTTTAAGGATGTATAGCTAAAATTCTAGCTTGTGTCGACAAGAGGAACTAAGCCACTTAGGAATTCCTCGCTGTACATTTAATTCTACTTTTTTATTAGATTACATTGAGGCTGACTTAATAAACCACAATATTGAAAAATGCTTATTCATTTTTGATATCGTGGTTAATAATGCTATTAGTATAGTTCTTGTCTCACACACCATCTTGTATATTAGAGAATATTAATGTATATAATTAAATAGCCTACTCCTTTGGACTCATACTAATTCCCTAAATTTAGGCTAGCTTGTAACAATTCATTACTAAACTGGAGAAAAATAAAAATGGATTCAGAAAAACAAATTGTCTGTTGGTCCTTTATTCTGCAAATGGCCAGGTAATCAAAACGAAGGAATGAGCCTCCTGATTAGTTAATACTTGGAAACAATCTATTCTGTATCTTAAGTCACAAAGGCATGCTTTTATTTAAAGCTGTCAAGGAAATACCTATAATAAATGGGAAAAAATAACATGACTATCTCTACCATGGGCCAGTAATGAAAGCTAAAGTTCAAAACAACACAAGACAATGCAAAACAGTATACATTCTTAAAAAATGTAGACCACAAATCTGCTTGAGGACATTACCTATTACTTTCAAATGTTATTCATGATAGGATTATCAAGCTCTCATTAATGATGCTAAAGCACGTGAAATAGTAACAGGTAGGAAAGAATGGAGGCCAGAGCTACATCTTCTTGTGGGTCTCAAACTTTGTGGCACATTGGTATCATCTGGGCATCTTTAAGAACTACTGATGTCTGGCTCTCATCTTAGACCTTAGATGTTCTGATTTAATTATAATGAGGTATGACCTGGGCACAAGGATTTTTAAAAGCTCCTAGGTAACTAATATGCAGTGAAGTTTGGGAACCATTGCTCTATTCCGATTCTTTCAAATTTTCAAAACTTAAAACAAAAGTTTTTATGGATGCTCTGGTTACCCCATACCCAGTGGCAATATGCACTTCTGGAGGTCCTCAAATCATCATGTTGCCTTGGGGTAGTGGGCCACTGTTTTGGTATAATAATTTCCCACTTACTTAGTACTTCGGAAAAATTTGACTGAAGGCTCTCTGAATGAAATTTTTATTTCCTAGACAGGCCAAAGCATGTTGGTAAGGTAGTATCACACTGCAACTTCTGAGCGCCCCTCTAACGGAGGTTTAATGAGACTAGAAAGTTCCAAGCAAGCCTATCCCCCATTGCTAACAGCTGTCTTCAAAGTGAAAGCAAGTAAAATCTTAGTGAGGTAAACGCTAGAGGCCACTGCAACTGAAAGTAAAATCACCATGGCACTGTTGGGTGACAACCAACAGCTGTCCATTTATATTGTAGAATCAGTTTCACAGATATATTAAAGGGACCATCAGTCCAAAAAAAAATTATCAACTGTAGAAATTATCCAGACATAACAAAGTCAGTGAATATTAGGACTTAACAAAATTTTAAAAGGTAAACATAGGTGGCCTAACAGAATAGAAAATACTATTACTTACAGTGAATGGCATTAAGTAGTTTTTTTAAAGAGTTTCACATATATTACCAATCATATTCTCAAAACAATGTGTTAGTGAGCTTCTGAAATAGGCAATTTGACTCCCATTTACAAGCAAGGAAACTGAGGTTCGGAAAGAGCCACACAACTATTCAGTGGGGAGCTAAACAGTACAATCTTTTGACTTCAAATGTTCATCCTAACATGCTATCAATTCTAACTCCTCAATTTATTAAAGTCAGTATGAGTTAAAAGTCCTCTGACATCCTTTGATTAGGTTTAACTTATTTGCTTAGATTCCTGTTCATTTCATAGAAAGCGAATAATTTACTTTGGCTGTATAGAGAGCAAGAGCAAATAAAAGTCTCTAAGAAAACCTAAATAAGTCATAGCTCTCAAGGTCAGGCTTTTTTAATTTCATTTATTTTTAAAAAGATGCCAATGAAAATTATTAATTTAAAATGGTGCTACAGTGATGAAAATTTAGAATTCTGCAAGAAAAACTAGAAAATATCAAGAATAATAATATAAAGCAGCATTAGGCAATTAGACTGTAAATCACATTTACTGGGATAGTAGTTAAGATCTATAGCCCAATAAGCAATGATATTAATCATTTTTAAACATGAAATTTAAAAGTAGGAAAATAAAATCATGTGTTTTTCCACAGGTACAAAGCTCTGACTAATTAATATATGCATGTTACTCAAAAATGATAAAAATGGCAACATTTTTAACTTCTCATTAAAGGAAATTCATAAAAAGAAAAGCATGAAATTCTGTACAGAGTTCAAAAGAACAAAAATATAATTCTCAGGAAAATTACAGAATAAAGAAAAATAATTCTGTAACTCAAACAAATATTTGTTACATGATCTTGCTCTCCATGATTTCTCTAACTTCTTCTCCTATACGACTCTGTGACCCAATCCCCCTACATACATTTTCTTACTGGTCTTACTGTTCTCTAGGTCTGGAATGCTCTTTCCCATATAGCTATATGGCTTACCTCTTCATTTCTTTAAGGTTTTTTCTCAAAAATTTTCTTCTCAGTAAAGCCCTCCCTGATTATCCCATCAATATCTCCCATATTTCATATACCTTCTTCCCTACTTTGCTTCTTCTCCTTAGCACTTAATCACTCTCTACAACACTCACTTACAATTATTTATTTATCTTGTATACTAGATGTAAGTTCCATGAGGGAAAGGTTTTTTGTCTGGTCACTGCTATATACGTAGTACCTGGGAAAGCAGTTTGCATACAGTAGGTGCCCAATAAATACTTCTTTGATGGACTGAACAAATTTCCTATAATGAGGTGAAGTTATTATTAGAATAAACGAAGGTGAAAAAAGTGTAGAAGACATGAGAAAGGTAGGCTAGAAATGTGTTACTTGAATTTATAAATAATATACAGCTTATGCTAATTAAAATTTTTAGATGGCAGAGAAAAGCAAAGGCTGCTTTGTTTTGGAAAAGTGAATTAGCTACCCCTAAATGTAAGTTTAGTAAAATGCTTAGTAACATCAAAAAGATGATTTTAAATCTATAGTTCTTTTATTATGCTATACATAGGATAACATACAGAGCTAAGAAGAGGACGTTAAATTATAGAGATGTTTTAAGGGAATATAAATGCATAAGAAAACAATCTGTTTAAAAGCTCAGAACTTAAAAATCTATGCAAAAACTTTCATGATTGTTCTATACCTATAAAAATAATACTTACATTTGACTTCAAATAATTCGAAAAGTTCAAAAAAGATCCATACAGAAACTTCTCAGAAAATATTTTATTTGTATAACCTCTATAAATAGGTAACCTTCTCTCCATATACAGAAATGAGGAGAGTTAAAGAATACTTTTAATAGACATTTCCAAATTGGTTCTCAAAGGCACTCAAGTCATTTCTCCCTACAATATTTCTCTGGCTTTGAGGAAAAAAAGAAAAGGTGAAACAAATTGTAAATATCATTAAAACTGATCATGAAAAGCTGTGCTTT